AGATAGAGTAGCAGTGGTAGAGCCCAGACTGGAGGCCAGTCAAAATGAGGCAAAATAATGGCAAACATCAGTTAATAACTGGAACATGAGACATACATAGCTTGATGGTTGGAAAACTATAAATTATGAAAAATATAATGGAACACATGACCATCAACATTCTAGGCATAGTGAGATGAGATGGACTAGCTTTGGCCACTTTGAATCACATATGATATACTCTGCTAGGAATGAAAAATAGAAGACTGATGTTGCCTTCATAGCAAAAAAGTCAATTTCAAGTTCAATCCTGAAATACAATGTTGTGATATTATCCATACCCACACAAAGAAGGCTGGTTACTAAGACTGTTATTCAAATATACACCCCTAGAGCTAGAACCAAGGAAGAAATTTAAAATATTTACCAAATCTTGCAGTCTGATATTGACCCAACAGGCACTCAAGATGCATTAACGATAATTGGTAACTGGAATGTAAAAGTTATAAACAGTGAAGAAGGAACAGTAGTTGGAAAAGACAGGGTTAGTGATAGAAATGAAGCTCGCACTACAATGATTGACTTTGTAGTCTGAATTTATTCTCCATTGGGGGGTGGGGCGCAGCACCCTCACTGCACAGCCTGCTCATTGACGCTGCTCCCCGAATCCTGCGGCTTCATCACGTCGGGCAGCTCGGGCGGGCTGGAGAAGGGATCGATGCGGAGGGGCTCGAACGTGCCGTTTTCCCGGAGGGCCAGCCCCACCGTGGCCGGTGCCTGGGGTCTCGCCGTCTGGGAGGTGAAGCCGCACTCGCCCAGCGTCTTGGTGTCGTCCAGGAGCTGGTCGTCCTTGTACAGACGCTGCTCCTCGGGTGGCCGCTTAAGGATGCCCTCGACGATGCGCTTCAGCTCCAGAACAGTGCTGGACTCCTTGGCGTCAGTGAAGATAGTGGTCTTGTGGCGCCGAATCATCAGGAACACGTCCATCTTGGCCGTTACGCTGCTCGTGTCGATGCTGTCGACGAAGCTGCGCATGCACCTAGTTCCCAGCGTCCGCCCGTTCCAGCCCCCAGTGCGCCTGCGCGCTATTCCACACCCAGCGTCCCACGTGCCCCGAGCTCGGACCCACTCCGGCTTAGTGCGCACTCCGTGCTCGGCTCCATTCCCAGCATCCCGTGCGCCCCAAGCTCCGACCCACTCCCGCGTAGTGCGCATGCTCTGCTCGGCTCTATTCCCAGCTTCCCACGGGCTCCGCCCCACTACCAGCTAGTGTGCCCCGTGCTCGGCTCCATTCCCAGCATCC